AACAAGTAAAACAGTTACAGCCCTAAATAAACATGAAAATTAATTGTACTTATTTCAGAACAGAATTCATCGAGTTAATGATCACGGCATAAATTATGACATTAATAATTAAGTACAACGCCGAAAATGTTTAAGTTTTAAGCGGTCTATATACGGAGTAATATACTTCGTAAAATAACTATAAACGTTGTCATTGCCAACAATAGTATTTATTACAAGAGCAGCTTTCAATGGCTTAGCCATCATCATCAGTTGTCTGCTGAATGGAAGCCACAAAAACGACTACCATGGCTTCCATAATATACTACATAAATAAATACTACTGTTGGCAATGACGTTTATAATTATTTCATTACAAATGCCACCGATAACGCACCACAACACCTATAATATACTTAGTATACAGAAAGTTATGACATGCTGCTGAAAATTTGCTTTCGAGATTTCAACGGAAAGACACGTTTTGGGATATCCTGATACCGAAAAAGTGTTTTTTTTTAATCGCCCGTCTGTCTGTCCGTCTTTTCGCCTGTCCGTCTGTCCGTCCGTCCTTCCGTCCGCCCGCCCGCCCGTCCATCCGTTCGATCGTCCATCTGTGAACACCACTAGCGCGTAAATCATACGTACGATTTTTTCCTGGTCGATCTGGCTCCTCACGAGGCTCAGCGATTTTGAAAAACTTTCTTTAAAATTTGACGGTCCTTTATATGAAGCCTCCAGGACATTTTCAAAAGTTAAAAAAAAAATACAAAAACAAGATTTTCTCAGAAACAGCTCCCATTTTTTTCTTTAACCTTTTGGTAGGGATAATACTACATGTACTCTATAAGATGACATAAACGCTATGTTGCACTAATCTTTTGTTTTCTCAAAAATTACAAAATGTAATTTTATTTTACTTGTCTCTCATACTGTTAACATTTGCAGCAATTTGTTTACGTTAATGTATTTATGATTATGTGTGCTTTAAATAATGTCAGATAAACTTTCCCGTAAATTCAACAGTTTTCCGCGAAAATGAGCTAAAATTCTCCTAACAGGTACAATTTTTTCAAAGGAAATTGTCAAATAAGGCAAGGTTTTACTGTTATTTAACATTCTAAAAAAAAAGGTCCGTTCTATTATTAAAAATATGAAAAATGAAGAAAATTTATAAAACATGTACTTTGGGCTGTGATAGATGACAGCTGGCATGAGTATGTGGCAAGTCAGAATATCTGGCAAGTCAAAGGAAATAGAAAACTAATACGGAAGGGTCTGAGCAATTTTGTAGCACCACTAGTATACATAAGTACACCCGTATACATACGTATATACGGAGTAATATACATAGTATAAGGAGAGTTTTGTAATGGTGCTGAAAATCGATTTCGATATTTCAACGGAAATACACGTTTTGGGGTTCCCTGATACCGAAAGAGTGTTTTTTTTTTCAAAACGCCCGTCCGTCTGCCTGCCTGTCAGTCTGTGAATACCACTAGCGCTTAAACCATATGTACGATTTTTTCAAAATGGATATTGGGAAGCGATCGATCTGGTCGATCTAGCTCCACACGATGCGCCGCGATTTTGAAAAACTTTCTTTAAAATTTGGGGGTACTTTATATTAAGCACCCCGGACAGTTTCAAAATTTTCTCAAAAAACGGCTCCACTTTTTTTCTTTAAATTTCTTGTAGGAATAGAGTACAATACACTTAAAAATGTGGCGTATGTCCGATTTTCACGGTTAACTCTGAATATTCGAAAATTGCAAAAGTTTAAATATTTTCCGCGTCTACCTACAGCTACCAAATAGAAGATAGACAATTTTCCTTAAAATAATTTTTCTCTTCATAGTGAGTTCTTTAATCAAAGTTATGTACATTTTTTTGAAAAATTTAATACTTTTTGTGCAATATGGTGCGCAATATTAGCAATTGTAAAAAAAAAGGATTTTCTCAAAAACGGCTCCAATTTTTATCTTTACTTTTGGTAGGAATAGTGATATGACATGACTTTAACGAAATATTGTCCTATTCTTTTGTTTTTCAAAATTTACAAAAAGATAATTTTTTACTAGCCTCTCACGTTGTTTATACATAGAGTAGCGGCGATTTCTTTACATTATTGCATGAATGTAGAGTACATGTGATTTAAATGATATCAAATAAAGTTTCTCGAAAACGCAACAGTTTTCTGTGAAAATGAGCTTAAAATATCGCTTATTCAGAAACGCTCAAAGGTTATATTCATAGTAATGGCTCCAATTTTTTTTCTTCAAACTTTTCGACCTGATATCGCTAATTGCATTGTTTAATATGCCAAACAGTTTATTTCGGAGAAGTCTTTTGTTTTATCAAAAATTATACAAATGTGTTTTTTAAAATAACTCTCATGCCGGTAATATGCACATGTCCAGCTATTTGTAAAACCTTTAGCATTTGGGAGTGAAAGTGCCTTATGACTCTCACCGGCGCGAAAGATCCGCAGTTTAGGTGGAATGTCCGCCGCGAGCCTGTTAGCTTATGAGCACGTTCAGACTGGCGCGGCACGCGATCATCGCGGCAGCGTTTAATTCGCGGCGGATTTTTTCGCGGTCGGACGAGTTTTTTCCCGTTGCCGCTCGAATTTTGCTGTGGAAACCAAGGCAAAGTTTCGTCAGATATCGAATATTCTCAGTTCACCGGTAAATCTGACACGACTGTACCGACAGAAAAAATACTTCTAATCGTGTTTAGAAAATTAATTAATTTTAAATAATATTAAGCTTCGATTTTTAAAAATATTTTGTTCTCAAAATTTTGTACATTTCAGTAATGGAAATAAATTTATTACTCTACGAAATATGTATACACACTTACACAGGAGTGCAATAAGAATTCATTCTTCAGGTGATATAGTTTTTTATGTGTTCCACGATCAGATTCAAAATTTTATCAAAACAGTTACTGGACATTCTAGTAAATATAAAAGCGTTTTTCGTCCTTTGATGCATCAAGGTATGAAATTCTCCGTATTTTAACCTTTCTAGGCCAAAATCATGGACCCCTTTTCTTCGTTTCCTAAAGAGATACTAACAATTTGATGGAAAATCGCAGATAAAGATAAAAGCTCAGTACCGCATGTGCTCAGAAAACGTACTAAGAGTATTGCCATTTTCTATCTCCTGCATATTGAAGCGACCGCGTTTAGTTTATCGGATGAGGAAAACTGTCACCTCATTTGACGCTGCGGTGTGTACGGCTCGCGGATTTCGGCGCCGGGTCTAGCGCGGAACTTTCCGCGCCGCTCCTGCCGCGGATGTTCCGCACCGGTCTGGAGCCTTAAAACATACAGATCAATGGTTTTATCCAAAGTACCTTGATGGGTCAATGCTCCCCATCTTCGCCACGTTTTTCGTCCAAATTCCCTTGATCCATTGAGCAAATGCTGGTATGGCCCTTTTGTTTGCTTCTTGACATGAACGTAGCTTCCCTATCCTCACGTTTCATTGAACACAGTAGGAAATATAGTTAGAATCGGTCTCCGTGTTCTCGCGGTAAGAAGTTGATTTCTTCACGTGGGGCAATGCAAAGGACAATGTTCATCTGGATCTCACCTTTTCCAATAGCTTTAATTAAATACACTGGAGCGAATACTTTCTTATCACTTCTTCCTTTAGAAAAAACTCGCTTCCAACTGTATTTTTATTTCAAATTAGTAAGAGCTAGTGTAGGTATTTGAGAGCTCAAGAAAATGTGCACATATTACACTTTTCCCGTAAGAACGTCACTCAGGTTTTAACTGTTTTTGACGCTAAATAAACAAACTAAATAAAAATAAATAACATAATTAATTAAAAACAAAATTATTTTATTGACTCGCTCACTCCCAAAGACACATCTTCGCCATCAAATTGTTGTAGAGTCGGATGACTGCCGGCCGACAGAATGAAATTGGACACCCGTGGACACTCTTGCAGTAAATTGATTAACACATGTGTGTGAAGCTGAACCGGACACTTTCAGGTCCATTTCTCAATAAATCGCGAAAACTACTAACATTTGTAAAAAGGTGTACACGATATGATATAAAGATGTAATATTTAAAAATTCATATATTTGTTGTGAAACTGTTAGCTACAGTGTGTTTCGTTTATGTTACACCGTAATAATAATATAATAATATTTATTTGGCTACAATTGGCTGATTGCCAGGTGGTAGCCATAACCCTACAGTTTTACCAAATATGAACACTTATAAATCAAAAACAATTTACCACATAAAAACAATTTACAATACACTCCTTTCGAGCATATACACTCAATATATAAACATACACAGACCTGTATACATCTATGGCACATACACACACACACACACACAACACACACACACACACACACACAACACACACATATATATATATATATATATATATATAATATATATATATATATATTATATATACATACATACATACATAGTACACACCCACTCACACACACACATACACATTCTTACACATGAATGCTCACTCTCACGTGCACACATAACACAACACACACACTTTCCCTACGTAGTATACATGCCTACATTTAAATGAAGAACATATATTTAGTTAGACCTAGTAAACATGCACAGATATACATATACATAAAATTAACCCGTTACACAATTTCTTTTTTAAATAGAACACAATGTGGATTTTTAAAGTTAGCTCTTTAAGCATTTAGATTTGCTCCCACCTACTCTCGCACTTCACTTCACTACATTACACTACACTACACTACACTTTCACCACATCTTTCTTTGTTATGCCATATAACTTATTAAAGTAGCTTTCCCCTGCACTGCACTACACTACTCTACACTGTATCTATAATAATCTACAAATTGTGTATTCTGACCTGTGCGGTAAAATACATCCTCTACAAGTACTTATAAGTCGTCTTCTAAAAATACCAACAGAGCCAGGAAAAGGCTCTACGACCGCTGCAGGGATTTTCATTCCAATTTTTAACCGTACGATTACAAATGGAATATTTCCCTACGTCGGATCTCTGACATCTACTTTTTATTTTGCATTTGTGATCGTTTCTCCTAACTCTTGAAGGGGAGTTTAGTCTTTTCGTTACTTTGGCCCATGCAGGTGACTTACTGTACGCCTTGAAGAGGCAGCACAATCTGGCCAATAAACAAGCTAAAATAAACCTCAAGAAAGAAAAAGATATTAAATATTTTAATACCAGGTACGCTGTTTCCAAATTACTCACAACAAATTTGCGAAAAACGGAAGTGCAGGATAAACGTTTTTGGGAATTTCTGTATTAGAATATTGGCTGCATCATCCCGTTTTGCAATTATTTTGTAGTAGTTCGTATTGCAGCTACCAGATAGTGCAGTACGCTCAAAATGAATGGTTCAGAACACAACAGAACAAAACACGATAGTCAGCCTCAGCCGGCAAGTGCCCAAGGCGGGCACACATGGCGTAATTTTGCTATCGCGTGTGCGCGTATGCCGCTACTTTCGTTTCGTCATTCCTTGCATCGCATCCAAGAGCTGGTATATGGTGTGTGTTGCTGGTTGTTTTCTTCGTCTATACTGCAATTGAAGATATTGTTATTGTTTGAAAATATTTCATTACAGACCTGCAAGGTTATGCTATAATTGCCCACTCTTGCCATGTACGCTTGCAAATTTTCATGCATTGCATGATAACTTGAATATATTTATAGTATCACATGATTGAACACTTTCGTAATGGTTCAGTTGACGTGCTTGACAAGGTTATTGCTACGACGTAAGGTAAGTACAGTATAATATTCTAAATATCTTTTGAAAATACATATGTCGTTTTGTGCATCATCCTGCGTGAATATCTTTCAAACTGTGTGATTAGACACATTCTGCTTTAACCTGCTGCAATATTCTGTTTACTTTCATTCGCATGTGTGCCGTTTGCTCGCGTTGGCATCGAGTGTTCTCCCTTTTTAATGTAACTTGTAGTATTTTTATTTCTTTTGCTTATTGTTTCTTATTGTGCCATTCTTGCTTTGTAAATAGTCCTTGCTTTTAGACACCTTCTTGTGCAGTTTTTTTTTTTTTTTTTTTTTTTTATAATTTTTATCACCCTGTGAGTAAGAGATTGTAGGAGAAAGTTGCATTGTGCATAACTCGCGAAAACAAATATTTCAAAAACATTAAGAGCTATTTTGATTGTAGTTCAGTTTTTTATAATTTATGAAATTTGCAGTTTCTTTCCAGAAGTGTTGTCAGCTATCAAAACATTAATGCAGCTCAGTATGCTATTAAAATACAGACAACCTTTAAGGTATGTAAGGGTAAATTAGCTTGATTTTGGAACAGCATGTTCTGCTGAATATCTCTTAGGATTATAACAACTCACATGGTTGATCACTAACAAACTGATGCATGCAAATAATAAATTAATTCTTGCTTTATTCAAGTGAGCTTTCTTTGCTGTTTTGTTTTGTATGGCTGTAGTAATTTGTGTGAATCTTGCTTTGGGTTATTGCTTCATATGTATCATTGTATACATTTATATTTATTTTTTTAAAATATTATTTGTATCTTCATTTTTAACATTTGAAACCGTACAGGTTAGGAAGTGTTACATTCAGAAATAATATTCTTTTGCAGATTTGTACTATCTTATTCAATTCTTATTTATTTGTAATAGTTGAAACCAATGAGGTTTGGAAGTGTCACATTCAGAAGTAATGTGCTTTTGCGGTTTCATAGTATCTTACTCAAGAAACCATTTATTTTATACTCCAAATTCACAAAAGTGTATTAATTTAGGTAGGCTAAAAGGGTTTCATGATGCAATTATGGGAGTTTACATTCATTATATTCGTTTGTAATGTATATTAAATGAGATGTGCCTGTATTACTTGTAAATAACTATGCATTTAATATGTTATAGCTTCATTTTCATTGTTAACTCTCTTTCTCAGTTTTCTGATCTGGGAGTACAGTTTGCTTCTCCAGATCAACTACAACCAAAGCCAGATGTAAATGCATTGCAATTTGGCAAGCACTTCACAGATCATATGTTAAAAATCTACTATCACGAGTCTTTAGGAGGATGGCAGAAACCACAAATTACTCCAATGGAAAATATTGCTCTGCATCCAGGTGCCAAAGTTCTTCATTATGCAGTTGAGGTAATATGAATGTTCATGCCTTTATAAATTTGTCATTATTTTATTTTTGTCTATTATAATTATATTAATGTTACATTGGCCATTATTGTTATTTGTAGTTGTTTGAAGGAATGAAAGCATACAGAGGTACGGATGGCAAAATTCGTATCTTTAGACCTGACCTGAATATGGATCGAATGAATAGGTCTGCAATTAGGTTAGGACTTCCCACTTTTAATGGGACTGAATTAATTAAGTGTATGTGTCGACTTGTGTCTATTGATCGAGAATGGGTGCCACATTCAGAAGCATCAAGCTTGTATATCAGACCTACTCTTATAGGAATAGATGTAAGTATATTTTCTAGTGTGTTTAATTATTAATTGTTTTCATTAATTGTAATTGCTTCACTAATTTTCATTTTGCTTGGCTGTTCTAGTAAATTGTATTACCTTTTCACTCTTCATTTTATTATTCACTTTTATTAAAAAAAACAACTAAAAACGAATTGTATTACACATTTTAATTTTTTAGAAGAAAGTATGTTTTGCATTGTACTGTAACTTTAATGAATTTATTAATCACATTTATTTATTCATTTTTGTATTTTATGAAATTTTAAGTTTGTTTATGTTTTTCATAACATTCTTCATATCTTTATGCTTTTTTCATATATTGTTTAACTTGCTTGTGAAAGTAAGTTTTTCTTTGGGCTAAAGAAATGAACTCCCAGTGTTTTACAGCACATCATGTCCATATATATTCTAAATTCATTGGTATATTATTTATTTTTTTAGATTGATTACTAATTCATGTAGATAGCAACATCTTTCATTGTTAAGATGACTTATTTTAACGTCTTTTCTAAAGGAAGGAAATAAAACAACAGTGAGATAACATTGCTAGACCATGGTAAGGATGAAAATATGTGATGTAAGCAGATTTGTTGCTCCAGATAAATGTGGTGACCTTTGACATAAAAAGAAAAGTTCAGTCTGCCTCAAAACGAACTTTTGTGTGTGTGCTGGATCAAAGAAGTGTTGTTTCTCACTCTGTTTGAGGTCTTAAGCTTGGCTTGACTTATTTTATTATCACAAGTCAATTTGCAGTTTATTTCTTAGTGTCTTGAAAGGTATTTAATGGATCCATAAATAAACTTTATCGAAACACAAGAAATACAGAAGTATGCTGTAAGTTTGAGCTACGAAGCTTATGGTTCATCATAGATAAGGAGGTCAAGGTTGTGTTGCAGCACAGAGGAGAGAGATATAATGTTCTATGATTTCAGTGAACTAATAAGTTAAATGATCTGCTACACTGATATAAAAATGCTCTTCTTTAATTTTTGAAAACTAAATTGTGACAAGTGTAAGTCTGTGGCTGCAAGTTCGGTAGTACAAAATTATCACTAATTTAGTTGTCACTGTGTTTTTTAAATCACGGAACAAATGCCTTTCACGGACCATTTTTTTTCTTCGGGGTTTGGGTGCTTTTTTTTTTTTTTTTTTTTTCTTTAATAGCAATATTTGGTATTAAGGGGTGTAAAACATATCGTAGCTTTGTTTTTTATGTAGCAAAAGATCTTGAATAGCCAAACTTAACAGAATTACCTTCATCTTGATTTATCCAGACCAACATTTTTGGACCTAGTGATTTTCTCATGAAATTGAGAATTTATTAAAAGTGAATTTGAAGAATTTAACTGTAACAAGCGGGAATTTAATATCAGTAGTTGTTATATGCAGAATTCTTGGAATGGAGAGGATGCTAAGGCTTGGGTACAGAGTGAAAAAGCTGCTGTTTATTTGTAATGGCTGTGACTTGCAGATGTTTACTGTAAATTCTAAATGTGTGCGTGTGTGTAAAATTCTGATAAATTATCTAGATTTAATTATTTTATATTGTTGACTTAAAGATATGCAGTTTCATACTATTACAAATTGAGAGAAAAAGGCTCAGTACCTGCTCTGAAAAACAGCAACTATTTACTTTGTGTTGTTATATTTTGGAAAAGACAATGCTAGTTTTCCATCTAAATATTATTCCTACTATGCATCAATTACATATTAATTTTATCTATTATTATATATTATTATTACTTGCGAATCAACATTTCCGATCAACCAATACGATTAACATACGTCAACTATTAGGCGGCCTTTTTCAGCTTGTAATCTCTTGGAGACAAGGTTTATGCCTTGAATGTTGAATTATGAAGTGGATAGATGGATGATGTGAAGAAGGACAATTCAACAAAACGACCTGCCTTGTAGGGACTCAAGCCGTACAGCCTCCTCGGTCGCGAATGATAGGCTGCCATAACCATCAGTGCCATGGGGCCGGATTATTATTATCATCATTATCATCATGAATCGTCATCATGCATTGTCTATGACTTGTTATAATTTTGGAAATCCTTGTTCACATATAGAGAGAAAATATTTAAATGAATGTACTTCCAGATACATTGATTCAATGTCTTTGATGCAAATACATCATTTGATTTTCATTTTTAAATCGGTGACAGAAGAGCTATCATTGCTACCCACACAAGCCCACACTTCAAACTGAAATTGAAAAAAGCAGATTTTACCATAGGTTCTTGGAAATACCAGCTGCCACTTTTTTATTTTCTACACCTCAGTCAGTCAGATTATTAATCGAATGACTGTGGTAAACTTGTGAAACTGAACAGTGTACTTGTGAAATAAAGCCTGAGCAAAATTTAATTTTTCTCAGATCATTTGAGAATGAAACGATTGAAATGAACACTAAAAGAAAAGATCTGGCTGCGTTGGTGCCAGTAGGGCGATCTGTTGAAATATCCAAATGAAATGGACGTGTATTTTCAATGGTGATGAAATTGATGATTTTTTAATGAATTAGGTTTTAAAATGGTGGCTTTAAATGTTCAGGTAGGAACAGCAGCTTCAGACACTAGTATAAAAATGGTAATTTTTTGCAAATGTTTCTTTAACCCAAACATCACACAATTACATGATACAAATGAAATAATTTGTATGACAAGTATATAATAAACCTATCTTTTGGTAAGTTTTTAATTTTTCTTACTGTACTGATGTACCGTATCAGGAGTTAAAAATTGTTGACATTCATTGTAAAGATTTTCTTTCTAACGTCAAGTGCTGACATAGATGAAGTTTTTTGATTTGCCTAGAATTTTTGTTTTAATTGTAATAGTCTCAGCATTTAAAATGTGGTGTGTGTGTTTTTTCATTTCAGCCATCACTTGGTGTGGCAGCATGTGATTCGGCCATGTTGTATGTTATTCTGTGTCCTGTGGGATCGTACTTTGATACAAAAAGTAAAGCCGTATCACTTTTAGCTGATCCCCAGTACACCAGAGCATGGCCAGGTGGCTGCGGAGACAAGAAATTAGGTTCTAACTATGGTCCCACGATTGCAGTTCAGGTAGATATCAGAGAAATCTGAGAACTTCAAATTCTCTTTTAGCTTTATAGTAAAGTTACATTCTCAATCAGGCTAAAACCCTTTTGTCTAAAATGATTGTTGCTTGGTTGCATGTTTATTGCATTTTTGTTCATAGTAAGATAATTAACAAAGAAGTTTTGTTTTTGTCAGCAAGAGGCTAGTCAACAAGGATTGCAACAGGTGTTATGGCTGTATGGAGAAGATCATCTTCTAACTGAAGTAGGCACCATGAACATCTTCATGTTTTATATTAATGATAGAGGAGGTGCGTATTCACATTACTTCTCAATATGGACAAATAAATAAATGTAAATATTGCTTACAACTTTCTTCGAGCTTATCAGATTTATAAAGTATGTAGCAATAAGTTGATTATCCAGTATTTCTTGGCCTCAGGGAGAGTTTCAACTTCAGAATATTTGCTTCCAGATTTTAAGTAATGTAGGCATAAAGGTGGGTTGAGATGTGTGTTGATCATGTTAGAATATACTTGCTTATCAATTTTGAAGTGTAGAGATTCCAAATGAATATGTGCACCATTTCTGTTACATATCATATTCTCTTAAATATATAAATATATAAATATAAATATATATCTATATATATATATATATATATATATATATATATATATATACACACGCACATAATAGAGAAAAAGTGTCTTTAACATGCTGGAAGCCTATTGTAAAATATATGAGAACTCTAACAGAGTAGTTGTCAGTGTAATGACCTATCTCAATTTCTGGAAAAATTTGGGATTTTTTGAGAAAATAAGAATTCATAAAACAGAGAGTAAGGAAGCAGTTTAAACTGTAGAATTGAAACCATTCTTATTACTTAATTTTCAAGAAACATGCATATTTTTCATTTGTTATTGGTTCTGCATGTTTATTCTTCTAGACAGTGTTTCTCATCATTTTAAGCCCAAGTATTGTTTGGTAACTTCAATAGATTCTCTGGATAACCAGGTCTTGTTTCTTCTATGTATTACTAGTCATAATGTACACAGTGCAGTGAATTGATAAATATAAACAAAATTAGAAATAAGATTGAACCATGAAGCAACAATAGTAAAGATTCTGTGCCTGATGAGTTACATGTTACTGTTATCCAATTAATATAAACAATGCAGTCGCTTTAATGTAGTTGCTAGAAAATGGAGGTCTTTCCTTTGGAGGATCTCTCTAAGTGTATATAAGCAATTACTTACAAATCATGAGTCAAAGTTGCAATTCATGTTAATTTTCAATGCAGCAGGAGCAGTCCATTGCAGTTCTTAAAAAAGTGAGGTGTTTAGCTTTTATGTATATAGAACATGTATCAATCTTTACATTTAAGAGTTATGGTAAAAGAAATGTGGACCACAATAATTCTTGGTCTGCTTGTTTAGAAACACTGCCTATAAAGAACTAAATTGTCAATGGATGCTTCCCCAAAATAGGTTGTGGGAACCTCTTCTGTTTTGATGAATGATAATATACTAATTAGAATAACTTTTTTAATCATTTTACAGAGCAAGAATTGGTTACACCACCTCTTGATGGACTGATTCTCCCAGGCATTACCAGGCAGTCTATTCTAGAAATATCCAAGGAATGGAATGATTTCAAAATTTGTGAACGACATATAACAATGAAAGAAGTAATTGAATTGACATCTGAAAATAGGGTAAATACTTTGATTAAAATTTACATTTTAAAATACTGTTATTATTGGGCTATGACATCTACCCAGCCGTTTTTTTGTTTCAATTCATTCCGATAAAATTGAAGTATTCTCTTTTTTTCATATGTAAAAGTTTCATTGTGTCATCTTAAATAGTGACAAGAAACACCATCAATAGGTTAACCAGATCCATGGAAAGGACAAGGAAAAAATAAATTAAAGAAAGAAAAAAAAGACATTTGGTGGGGGAACATTGTACATAACAATGTAATAGCAAAAGTTACTGTAATCCAAGGCCAGGAACAAAAAGCACCAAAATAGTGATCAATGGAAAATTAGTGGAACAAGTTAATAAAATTTCATACCTTGGAAATATTATAAGTATATATAACCAAACTCAGGAAGACAGAAAACAAACTTAATAATTACAATAGAATATGTGGATCAATTAAGAGACACTTTGGCAGAGACATGGGCCCGGAAACAATACTGAAACTTCACAACATAGCTGTTAAACCTAGAATCATGTATGGCTCTGAAACATGGGTAATGAAAGAGAAGAACAAACAGGCAGCACATATGAGATTTCTGACGGGAATCACAAGAAGAGAGACTAAGAAATAAAGACATCCAAAAGAAATTGAAATCCAAATGTTTAGTAGAAGAGATTGAATAGTCTCAAAGGAGTTAAAAAGATAATAAGAGTAGGCTCAACAGTAGTTTTACAAAATTAATCTGGAAGTGGAAATCAATAGGGTATCAGAGGTAGAGGGAGTAGACCAGTAAAGAGGCGACTACAGCAGGAACACTTAGAACACTAATAATCTACCAAGAATACTTCATAAACCAATAGAAACAGGCAGTAAGATTTCTGGTCAGTTCATAATGGTTATGATGTATAAGGGGTGGATTTTAATTGTGTGTATGTTTTTTTTCCCCTCTTTTCTTCTTCTTCTTCTTCACTTAAGAACAGTGTTGTCACTATGTTATAACAAAATGAGAGGACCTGTTTTTATCTCTTCGTTTCTCTCTCTTTGTTTCTCTCTCTCTCTCTGTTTTTCTCTCTCTCTCTCTCTTTGTTTCTCTCTCTCTCTCTCTTTGTCTCTCTCTCTCTCTCTCTCTTTGTCTCTTTCTCTCTCTCTCTCTCTTTGTCTCTCTGTGTCACTTTTATCGGCGCCATTGTGAGTTTGGCCAATTTTGCAATAAAGGCAGATATTTTATTTTAAACAAAAGTTTAAAAACAAAGTTTGCAAACGGAGTTCACGGCACAATCACCTCTCCCTTCAACACTTTCCCCTCGGCTGGAGACGCATTGCTCAAGGCAATGTGAGGGTATCAGAAAATCATAGTAATCTGGACTGTGGTGCATTGTGCTTTGAAAAGTCAGCAAGCAGTCATATTACAGCCGTTAAGCAATGAGGTGGTGTGTATTTTTACGAGTTGCACAACTAGTTTAACAATGTGGAACCATAAAACTGTCTTTAGAGCCAAAGGTCAAACTAACGGAAACAAGAGAAACTCTGAAGCTGTCAATAAAGAATGTTTAATATTCATTTATTGTTATGTGTATTTTAATGATAATAATAATAATTATAATAATTATAATAATAATAATAATAATAATAATAATAAATAATATGTAATTTTTACTTCACTTTAGTTCCTTCATTACGTACATTAATTTACTAGTTTCAGAATCGAATATCATAAGTGTCGTAAAATCGAGAACCCTCCATAAAACTGAAACCTCTCTAAAGTAGAATTTTTTTTTTACCCAATCGATTCTGGCTTAGAGAAATTTTACAGTAATTTCAAAGTACCGTGTTCGTAGATAAGCAAGTTTCAAAAAGGAAGACCTTCTGTGATTTTCAAAAATCTACCCAGACCCGATGCAAAAGTACAAAAAGGAGGTCATGACCTGATAAAAATGGATGTCTGGTAGCATGGCGAAGGACATCAAAGCATCCTAATCATCAACAAGTGTTTAAATATTAGAGAGTGTATAAAATGAAACACTAACCTGAAGTAGTCTTCATTGCACTAAACAGAAATGTGTTTTGCAGCGCCATGCTCTGATGATGTCAAAATGCAAACTTTTTGTTTGCAGAATGATACCTCAGGACAGTTACAGTATTATACTTTATAAATTGAACTCTGGACCATACAGGGCAAGTCAATTATGATGTTAAATTTTTATTTTATTTTGACGTTTTGTTGGTCCTTAATGCCTCGCCTTTTCAAGTACTGGAATGAACATAAACAATGTACACTGATCGAACAAAATATAACTTTAAACAGAGCAACCGAATAACACATATTTAAACCTTGTACATTAACATTATTGGTTTAGTGAACTTGGGTTAGGTATGTAATATTGTAATTTTGTCTCTCTGTCTATAAATATAAGTTGTATCATGTTGGATCAGTTTACTATCTTGACATTCATTCTTGTAACTATAGAGGTGGGCCTCAAGCATCTATGAAACAAATAAAATGAACTTGATCTTCTGCTGTTATTGTTTTGCTATCTATGGTCCTCAATTGAATTGATCAGTAAAAGTTCCAAAAAAAGAGGATGTTGTAATACATTGTTCAAATTTAAATTATTGAAATATTTTGTTTTAATTTTTTAGGTGCTGGAAATGTTTGGAGCAGGCACTGCATGTGTGGTTAGTCCAGTGGGATCAATTAGTTACTTGGGTCAAACACTACAAATTCCAACAACTGAATGGTCAACAGAGCCACTGTATGGACGAGTGTTACGGACGTTGACTGATATTCAATATGGACGAGTGCCTCATCCATGGGCTGTGCCCATTGATGATTATGCTTAAGTTAGTGTTGTGTGGTTGTGTACATTTTAGAATGTAGTTACGATATATATTTTTAAGAAGATTCGACTACTGTTATTCATTGACAACAATCCTTGTGTAAGTTTATAAGTAAGAGTTGTGCTTCTTGTCAATTAGTACATTATTTAGAAACTAAAGACTGGTTTACTGTCATCTAACCTCATGAACATTATTTCACTGGAGATTGTGGCAAAAGAACCTAGGTTATTATGATTCCTTCAAGTTTAAAGTAATTTTTATTTTTTATTATTGGTAGAAGAAATTAGGTAAGTAAAGACTGGTGCCGGTTATCAAGAGGTTTCATTCATTAAATATTGATTATAGATTTTTCTGAGCTCCTTCTTGATAATTTTTCTATCTTATGAAATATAATTGTCAAATTCTTGAAGTTCACATTTTGTATATGGTGTGTTGCCTTGTCTTGCCATAATCTCCCAAGTTCCTATTTCATAAGCCAAAGATTATTTCTTTGCCATGTAAATCTCTTTTCCACTAAGAGATGTGTTGATCTGACTTGCAGCTTTTTGTTGTTGTTTTTAATTAAATCCAGATAAATCATAATGTAAAGTCGCTTCAGTTTTAAAATTTATGAATAAATTTATATTTTTAATTTAGTTGTGCTGAGTAAATGATATTGGCTGTGTTTTTTGCATACATTGAAAGTTCAAAATGTATGAATAAAGTGTAAAGTGTATCTTTGTTTTAAGATAGAATAGAGTTACAGCACCAAGAGTGCAATTTTGTCATAAGATAGTTGTGATATTTTTGAGGATTGAAAGAATACTCTAATTTAACTATAGTAATTTTTTGAAGTTGTAAGAGTTGTATTGGTTTTGCCGTTGAAAGCTGTTTGTTTTAACTTTAATAGAATAAAATTTGGGCTTCCTGAAATGAATGCTAATATTTGAAATTAATTCTGCTCTTTTTGCATTTATTTGAACATTTTGTTGTACTGAATTTTCATATTTTTGTATGAAATTATCTTCACCTTTAGATATACTTAGTGAAGGATATTGTAGATAAATATAAATTTTACCATACTTAAAAAGAAAGAGAATGTTTTGATTTCCGAGTTTCAAATTAAACAGAAGTGCAATGAAAATATTTCTGTGATTATTAAATTTGTACAAAAATGAATAGTGTTTTAAAGTTGTTTTTTGCAACACGAAACAATTATGATAGCCGAATACCAATTTATTTTGTATACACCTGATTTTATAAAAACTATTTAAGTATAATGCATGTTGTACATTTTAATAGCACGATCTGAAATATGCTTACGAAAAAGATACAAATATATAAAAAAGAATGTAAATTTTTGTTTGACATTTCTCCCTTTCACTTGTCCTGAATCTGAGAGAGACCAAAGACACTCCTTTTTCCCCACAAATGTCTACCCAAATATTTAGAAAGGGGAAAAAGATAGAGCATTATTACACTTCTAACATTTAGAATTGTGTGCTCTTTAAGTTTCACTCCATGGCACGGGTTAGAGGATTTCCCTCTAATTTAACAACTGGATCAATCCCCTTTTTCGATATCAGGGCCCGGCAATAAATTATTTTCTACGAGAAATTGCAGTTTTTTCATGCTTTACATAACTGTCTCTGTACTAAGTATATTTCTCCATATATGTGTATGTGTACAAGAATCCTGGATTAATAAAATAGGGATGATCAAATTCATTCCTTTGATAAAGACATTAACTTTTTACATCATCAAACTTTATATTCTGTTAGATTAAACCAAGAATCTCCAAGCAGTTATTTGGAACTCAGCAATTTTCCAACTTTCAATTGCCAATCACGTGAACCTAACATGATTTGCTGGGTAGCTCTAAGAGGGGACTCGAATTTATTCATTCCATAATTGATGAAATTAGTAACACGTCAAACTCAAAGACAATCTTGAGCCATCAATATCTTCTTCCATGACAATAATAATGCAGCATTTAAAGATCACCCGGCACATGTACTTTTGTAAGTTACTCTGCTGGTGCATGTGCGCTGCTCATGAAGACACTGCCTTTGCCCTTCTTTACTCCAAATCTGTACACTTTCCAAATGATTTTAACTTGTCTTCTTTCTTTCCAAATGATACAAAGAGATTCCCCTACTAGAGTTTCCACCAGTTTTGCCTTTTTTTCAATGTTCCAAATATTTAAAGAATGTTTAAAAAAAATATGTAATTCAATTTTTGTAGAACAGATAGTTCCGGAAGAAAAAGATGAGGATAGTATAAAAATAGTCTAAAAAGCAAGTCTCTGAGAGGCCTGAGCATTACGTAATTTTCTCTCTGAACTATGTGAGAAAGTGAAATTGAAATGTTTGCAAAATGTTTATCAATAATATCTAAGTTAAGTGTGGTGTCATTGTAACAATGACTTTTCCAGCTTATAAAGTGCAGTGTTCCCCAAAATTGTGTTATCCTCAAAAATGAAGTACTTTAAAAAATACATATTTAGAGAATTTTATTGGGCTGTGTTGTCCACAAGGCCATAGAAAATACTTGAAATGGTGAATAAAAAAAATATAAACAATGATTTGTTTAAATTTATTTAGATGTAACTGAAGTATTTCTTTCATAAAATTTAATTCAACTACACTTCAGCATACACAATGCATTTCTGTTTATTTGTAAAATATCAAAGTATCTATGTGTCTACTGAAATAGCGACCATCATCAACTGTCTATGGTGAGCTTCTGATAATAATAAAATACTTAAAGTGTCCTTAATTGCACAAACATATGTCAAAATTTCATAACTCTTCTTCTACTGCACCCTCATGATGACTTCAACCTTCATACATTTAAATTGAAAATGTTGCTGTTTCTCAATGAGAAATTTCTGGAGATTTTTGTAGGCCGTCACTGAAATGTCCATTTAAATAACTCATTAATATGTGAATTTCTGAATTGAATATTATTAAACTTGACATATTTGTAACATTGGACAAAAATATATTTGCAAGTTGTGTAAAATAATATTAATTGTACACAATGCTCTACTATAAATTTTATTTAATCATCTTTCTTCTGAAAGTTCTTGAAGCATATCACCAAACAACCTAACAATTACAAAAAGCCACTTTTCAAAGAAAATAAAAGCTTTAAGTTTTGTTTCAAAGAAAAACTCTTCACTTGCAAAATATACCCGTTCATTCAACTGATATTTTCCTCACAACGCACAAATTATAAACTTGATTAAAATACGACAGTTGGAATATCTTAGAGAGTCATAGCTTAGGTGAAAGTTCAGAAACAATTTGGACCTGTTTTTCTGCAAATTGACGTGGTTTTTTGGTATAACAGGAAGGTAATTTTTTTGTTCCACTACCCAGGAAATTTATGATTTGGATTTACTGTTTATGATAAATCATTTTCACTAAAAATTTAGTTAAATCATATAATGCACTGAAACCCATGCTATAATAAAAGTAGTACTGTCTGGTTGCCTGCAGCAGCTGTTGAACTCAACCACACAACGCAGATGCTGTTGGACAAAACCACACAAAATGGTTTTCCAAAAAGTAGTCCACACCCTGATCAGGAACATTAAATAAAACCCCATATTACACTGCAATAAATTAAATATGTAAACAAAAACTCTTCACAAAATCCTGGAATACGTAGTATTGTATTATTCAGTTTAACACTTGTTTACCCACGAAGAATATCAAACTAGTGGTGCTGCAGAATGGAACACTTTCTCATAATAATTATTTTCTAATTATTTTGGTCTAGGCTACCTTTTTAGTCTTGCCAGCACCCATCTATCACCACCTAAAAAACTTTTTTTTCTTTAATTTTCTTAATGGTAGAACCGAAATATTACTTTAAGAATATTTCAGAAGGGTAAAATCTCATCCTATAAGGAAATTTTGTTGATAAATTTTGAGGTATATTAAGAAAATTGTGTTGAAGCATTACTGTAAATGCGAAATTTAGCTCCCTTGCAACAAAAACTTCACTGAAAGTCATTTGAAGCATTTCAACTCTCAAATGCAATATCATATACAAATGGCTGAATAAAATGGAAATTAACAGCCTGAGTGGGGTTAAGTAAATAAAATTCATTTGCATAATTTTTGTAAAAACAAAAGAACATATCAAGATGACTTGTATCATCCTATAGAGCTTTTGCCACAATCCATACACAAAATTTGGAGCTGTTTTTGAGAAAATGGCATTTGAGCGTTTCTGACAATGCAAAATTTTGACCTCATTTTCACAGAAAACGTTTGAGCTTTCAAGAAACTTTTTAAGACATCATTGGAAACACTTGTTTCAATAAATTCAATGTTTACAAATTGCTGTTAATGTCATGACAGAGATTGCAAAAATATTACATTTGTGGAATTTTTAAAAAAACAAAAGAATAGAGCAAAATGGCTTTCATGTCATCTCATTCAAAACATTTAGCGTTATCCCTACAATAAGATTAAAGAAAAATTTTTGAGCCATTTTTAAGAAATTCTTGTTTTTGTTACTTTTTAATATTGCACATATTAGATTATTATATTGGTATTGTGGTAAGTTTTCGTTGGCATTGACAATGAAATAATTATCCCAATATTGCGCAAAATTTACTAAAATTTTCACAAAATATACATGACTTTAATGGAAGCAATAATTATGCAGAACAAATTTTATTTGAAGGAAATTCTTGAAATTAAATTTTGAATTTATATCGTGTGACCAAAAAAATTTCAAACTTTCGCAATTTTCAAAAATTCAGAGTTAATAATGAAAATCAGACCTATGCCACCTTTATATTTCACTCTATTCTTACAAGAAATGTAATAATTTTTTAATTAGAGCAATTTTTGAAAAATTACTCACATGTAAAGTACTCTCAAAAATTGAAGAATATTATTCAAAATTACAGACTTTCGATTGAGGCCAAATCGACCAAGGACTTTTCTGTCTGAAAAACATAGTTTAGCATAGTTAAGGTGCTAGTGTTGTTCATAGACCACAAGAGAACGGATGTTTTGAGGAAAAAAAAAACAAACACCTTTGTAGTATCAAGGGATCCTAAAGGGGCCCTAACGTGTACTTCTGTTAAAATCTCAAAATCGATTTTCTGTAGCATTACACTACTTTCTTTATACTAGGTATGTATGTACGTATATGAGAAAGTAAAAACTGTTCTTTCATAACATAAGTGAATAGCAACATATGTGAATATTTAATAGTGGGTAGCCTCTTCCTTACGAGTCTTCATGACTTCAGTTGTCGTAAGAAGAGACACACTTTACTATTTTAGGTAGAATAACACATACAAATATGGGCATTTTTCATTTAAAATCAAAACTGTGTAGTTGTTTCTGGATTTTTCCTGTGTTTCTGTGTATCTAATAAAACCGCAGACACTTCTCAAAAGGCCCGAGGCTGCTTAGTTTCCTTCTAATTTCTGTGTTTATTGGCAATTAATAATGTTGATTTTGGCACTTGAAGATTATTTACCCTTACTCCTAATACTTTGTGCTATTCTTACAAGTGTTTGTTTCTTTTTAAATTTGGCTATATTTGTATGTTTTATTATTATTATTATTATTATTATTATTATTATTATTGCAGTATCCATGTTTACAATGTTACATTTTGTTGCATTTCTGGAAAACTGGCATATTGTATTTTAATGCACAATTTAAAGATTTTGGAAAACAATGAGGCATTATGTAAAGTACCTACCTTGCTAAATATGTTTTTTTTATATTTGCTCAGATACCGGCTTTAAAATTTCTACGTTGCCTGCAATCGCATGATGTCTCAATATTGAGAGAGAATAAAGCTTTAAAAAGTTGAACATTTGTAATTTTTAAAACCTTTTAAGAAAACGAACATTCGTTCAAGCCCAAACTGATGTATTGAACAAAAACATTTAAGAAAATCTGGTGAAAAAAATTCAGTATAAGCTTCAGATAAAGGACACCTAAAAATTAATTAAGTTTACACATTCAAAGAATGTCAAGTTGAGCCTAATCTTTTTTTCCAGTTTGGTAACATGACATTCTCCTTTCTCAGGGTCAGCGTTCCCCAAAATACGCATCCATCCAGCTCTCAAGATTGCTTTGTGTTATTTTAATACTTTTCATACATTGTGAGCAAGGGAAAACAATATACTATCTAATTATTTTTAAAAAAATATGTTTGAAATGCATCTGCCATTGCTGTCTGATGTTTCTTCATTGTTTCTCATTTTCAATTGAAGTAATCTTACATCAAAATTTAAAACATTCAAGTAAAATCCGCGAGTATCCCTGGCTGCAAATAATGGAGGGAAGAACTTATATATACGTTAACTTATCACCAGGTTACACACCCACTCACACACTTGTATCACCACACAAATAAAACAAAGAAGTATATATTTGACATTTTTACTTTAAAGATCTTACTTTTTTTCTTTACACATGGCTCAAAACACTTCATTTCCTACTTACAGATCTCGAAACAAAAAAATAAAAATTATAAACCTTAAAAATAAAAACCCTTTTCCGAGCCTCAGCATAAGTATAAAGTCCATGTATCCACTTGCATGGCCAAGGAATGAGTCAGAAGGACTAGCAGGTTCAGTCCACGGTCACCTTATTGTACATGACAGAGAGAGATTCACAACAAAAGAACCATTACAGAGGTCAGTTCATCTTGCATAAGATCTTGAACACATGATCGGCTTTTTATATATTTTTAAATTATGCATACAAGTGAGTGACATGAAAAGGCCAACAATATAATAACTTGTACTTCATTGTGTGGAATGAGTTGTACTTGCATATCAGATGCTTTTTTTTCCATTTTTTTTTAGATCATACGTTTAAGAAAACTTTAGCAAAATGAGCTGGTGTTACCGCAAAGGCTTGTGTCGTGAAACCATTCTGTCCAGCCGCGAGCTCATTGTTGTGGTCATACCACCGCTTGGGTAGGGTGGAATGATGGAGGGAGGTGTGGTCGGCCTTCCAGCTTATTGTAGTCAAGGTGAAACTCCTTGGCTACCTTTCGCCAGTTCTGTGCATCGAAGAAGTAGTAGGTGCCTCGCTCATAGGTGGAAGTTTTCTCAACAATGCCCATACCTGGGGCCTGTGTTATCCATACTTTCTCTTCTGTATGATACCGCCATTCCCTGCTATACCTTATAGATAATAATAATATATTTAAATGTTAGTAGGTACTATTATGCTCCTTAAGGACCAAAATTAAAAAAATCACCAAATTTACTTACAGCTCAGCTGCTGCTGCCAACTGCAAAACATCACCAACATTTGTGTAAAACATATAGAATAAGAGGTCGTCTTTATACCGATTGAGTTTTACAGGGGCAAGTTTTTCTCTAAAACAGAATTTCCTAAATGCATCTGTACATTCTTCATAAGAAACATACATCAAGTATAATTTCACTTGTACTACCTGATAGCAGAGTTAATGAGATATTCAGGTGGAACATGGAAATCTATATCCTGGGGCCTACAAGGTGTTTCCGCCCATGGCCCTCCAAAGTTGGGATAAAGATTTTCAGGTGAATTGAGATTAAGGCCCAGCGCTGTTAGATCTTGGCCCAATGCTAACGATACAAGATTTGGATCCGTTTCTGCTGCTCTGATGAATGTAAGAAGGCCAACCATCCCAAATTGGTCTTTCACCATGCTGCCTGGGATGTGTGTGACTTTACCTAATAAACAAAACAAAAATAATAAATGATAAACATGCTTTAATGATGGTCATAAAGTACTGATCAATTTTTATATCTTAGTGGCTGTTTTAGAGGAGTAAATTTGATAAACATAACAGGAATAACCAGCAATTCTTTCAAAGTTTTACCATCAGGTGATGTCTGAATCCCTCTCTTCGATGCTTGTGACTTTTCCGCTCCAGGAGCTCTATTGGCAGGTGTTGAGTCTTGACTGAGATCAGATCCTACCCCTGTTAGTCCTTTATCTCCAGAAACACTACCCCCTGGTGAAGGCCCATCAGTGTTCTGTGTGCCAGGTAACGCAGGAAAGTCTTCTGAACTCATGGTAAACTCACTCGGTTCTGCAGTCGGTTGCTTCACCATGCCCACTGCATACACAAAATTTTATGCATCAATTGCAGCACTTTCAAAAGCTTATATTATACTTCTATTATACTACAAATTTTCCTTTCCGCAGAGAAATACATTTTTAATAACATCTTCCATTTTAGAAAGGGAAAAAAAATATGTTTAAGAAATTTGATAAGATTAAAATAAGGGCTGCATATACAATTCTTCAGACAAAATTTGTAAATACATATTTAGCTCAACAAATACTTCTTTAAGCAACTTTATGTTCATTCTGAAATCATGCACTTAATCCTATGTTTTCACATACTTGCATGTTGTTAAGTTAAACTGGATATCTGAGAAGAGAAATGGATAAGATAGCTGAACTATCTTACCGTAAGGCTGTTTACCAGGCATGGGGCTAGGCTGAGGCATCGAATCCCCCTGCCCTCTGTTGGTGAGGGAAGGGAACTCTGAGAGGTCCAACAAAGGTGGTGTACTCGTGTCGCCTCCTCCTCCGAACACAGAATGGAAGTTGTTGATTGTGCCTTGCGATCCATAGGCTCTGCTCTGTGGCATTCCAAAGCTGCCCATGCTACCCATAGGGTTGGAATTCCTACAGGCAAATTAACGCATGAAAACTATTGAAAAACCTCTCTTTATATCACTTGCAAAAAAAAGTTACACATTATAAAGCTTCACACTGCAAATCCTGGGACAAACTTGAGTTCAAGAGAAAGAAGCAATGGCCAACCAAAATATAGGTTAGGCATCACCAATAACAAACACTTATATTACATAGCAAATATATGGACATCTTACCCAAGGCCAGGAATAGGTCGCCTTTCTGCAAATGCTCGTTGACCAAACAATCCCCTATTACCCATTGGTGGAAGGTTTCTATTTGGTGAAAGTGGCTGAGGAGTAAAGGAATTAGTGAGGCCTGTTGTCCCCGGGAACATTCCTGATGTTGGAGTGACATGGCCAGACAGAGAACTTGAGCTAAACCCGCCTCTAGTCAAGCTTTGACTTGCTATACTACGTGGGGGTTGCTGAAAATTCAGATTTGCCATAGCATATGATAGACCTGTGACAAAGAAATGTCTACATTACCATAATTTTCTGAAAGAACTTCCTATTCAATTAACACAATCACTTCAGAAGTAGAGATAAGTTAAAATGCACACATCGTGTCAAGTTGCAAAAACTAATCAACTCACAACACAGTAACAACTCAAGAGTATCTGTCAGCAAAGAGTGCTGTGTACTGAACTGTGTTTTTCGCGAATTGTAACTCTTTGTTACTGTCTCTTCATTGCAGTAACTAGGTATCGGAGTAAACAAAATTGAAGCGAACGTATTTTTTCAAATTATACGTTCTACAATTAACAGAAACAAAGAAGAAAAGCACTGTTATCTTAAGTTACATGGACAAAATATACGCATACATAAAAAAATTGATAAAAAATCACGATCACCACACTTCTTTTAAAACGTATTCACAAAAGTATAGAACACTCGCGGAAAATCTACGTAATAACTTACGAATAAAAGAGCAATTCCGCCTTATATTTTTCTTGGCAACAAATAATAGGGAAAATAGATTTCTGCCATATTAGCAACCTGAATGCCATCTAATAAAATCCAAATGAGAATCAACATTCATTTCAGTTCGTTTAATTAAGGTCAAGGAAATCCTTTGTAAATGTTAAACAGATTTCACAAAATAAAATAATAAGATTTTTAATTATAAGTTTTATTCGACATAAGCAAATTCAAATATTTCCCTTATTATTGAACATTTTCACTTCCGTAGTATCACGAGCGATCATATGATCATCAGATCGTCTGGTGCAGCAGTGTATGCGGAGTGTGAGCTTTGAAGTTTGAAATAATCGTTATTTCATTTTTGAAGCCGTAGGGCACCTTCTTTTAAAACACCTCATCTTACATTTTATCTGCTGCAAAATGGCTTTGAGCGATGCGGATGTACAAAAGCAGGTATGATTATCCTAATTTCATATGCCACTGGGTGTGACCACCAAATTTTCCTGTGAGTTAATACTCCATTTCGTATTCATTATATTTACTGAAGAATTGGAGTTTTCAATTGTAATAGCGTTATTTAATAGATCTTTTGTGAGATCCTGAATACCAATCTGCAGGAGGAGCAAAGAAACAATATGGGTCAAGTTTGTGCTTCTTACACCATCAAGGAGTTGATCAGTCTATAATGCCAGTGTGTTTTAAAAAATTGCAGATTAAACATATGATGGCCTTCATCGAACAAGAGGCCAATGAAAAAGCTGAAGAAATCGATGCCAAAGCTGAGGAAGAATTCAATATTGAAAAAGGACGTCTTGTGCAGCAGCAACGTCTCAAAATAATGGAGTTTTATGAAAGGAAAGAGAAGCAAGTGGAACTGCAAAAGAAAATGTAAGAGCTAAATGATTATTGTATAGATTCATCATACTATTTGAATAATTTGTATGAAATTAATCTAATTTTTGTTTGCAGTCAGTCTTCCAACATGCTGAATCAGGCTCGACTAAAAGCATTGAAAGTTAGAGAAGACCATGTGCGTAACGTTTTAGATGATGCTCGAAAACGTTTGGGAGATGTGACTGCAAATCCAAGCCAGTATCAAAAAGTACTGCAGCAGTTAATTATTCAAGGCCTTTTTCAGGTATATTTGTTATTATGATTCAAATTATTACTTTTTATATTTTTGGTACACAAAAGCTTTTGACTTCATTATTTGTGTACTTTATGGTGTTAGATGTAATTAAAGAATGTCATATCTCTAAAAAATTAAATGTTTATTATTTTAAAAGGAACATAAAATGGTTATTCAATTTTATATAAGGGTAGATGATTAACAATATTGTGTATTCACTGAAGGATTGAGAATACACTAATTCTCCAAATATATTTCAAGGTGGGAGAATAGTCAAGTCCCTAGATGGACATGTTCCAGTAACTTCATTTGTTCCTGATTTCCACAATAACCAAAGTCAATCTGAGGGTAGTAAGTGCATTTAGAGCTTACCATTTCTAAGCTTGGAAAAAAACTACCAATAAAATCTCATGAGGATTATAGAATACAAGTTTCTATTTTAAAAAATTGCAGTTGTATGTACAATATATAAATGTAACTGTTACTGTGAGAATTTGCTTTTAGATGGGATTGTGTGGAACTTAACTCTCAAAAGGAAAGTAGAATATTAAGATTTGTTACTTTGGTAAAGAATTCTGGACACAGTCATGAATACATGTAATTTAGTAAGGGTGGAACCAAGTACATAGCTGGTGTGTCAAATTATGTTGCTCGCTGAACGTGCTTCCGATATAAAATTTGAAGTAAAGTAATGGTAGGAGAGAGTTACCAACATCAGTTAATACAGTGGAACTTCTAATGAACATTTCTCAATAGCAAATGTCTTTATGTTCCCCCAATTGTTTTCTATTGTAAAATTGTATTTTTTTACGGTGCAACAGTGTTATAATATTCCATATATATGTCTAGTAGAAATTTTATGTAAGATGCAGACCTGCAATCACCACCATTTCATTTAGATTAACAATATACTTGTTCTTCCTAAAACTGGTATTAGACAAGATACTACCCGTTTTCTATGAACTTCTCTTACTAGTATCACAGCAGTCATGTTTAAATTTTAATTCAGATTTGGAGAGTTGTGCCCAGTATTTTCAAGCTTCTCGTTCGTATTCAAGAATTTTAGAGCATACTTTCATTTCAATGCGTGGTGAGGGTTTCTTTAGCTTTTATGTTCTGCCTTTCAGATTCGTAGGCAGACTTGTGCTGATCATTTGTATGGTAGCTTTATAATATTATCTACTATCTAGTATGAGTACATAGTATATGCAGGAAGATTGGGACTTTAGCCATATCACCTATTGTTTTGTTGTTTTTCTTCTGTCTCTCTCTCTTTTTTGTTATCTTATACAATGTTATTTGTCTCATTCAAGACTTGCAGTGTGTGTTCTGTTCACCTCACAGGTGGGATTCTGATTGTAATAGCTCACAAAGTAATGTGAAGTCTGTTGTCGGGCTACCACCAAACAGGATGGATGTAACCCCCGGGGTCTTAGAATGACAAGAATTGGAGTACCCACCATACTTTCTGGGTCTTTAATCATGTGACTTTGATATTGTATGAGAGGTTAAGGACCCATTACGTTGCAGATGGTTTGTGTTGCATGGACGTTTCAAATGCTATGTTAAAAAAGAAGACCAGATTTGCTCACGGTGGTGAAAATATTGAAGCACGTTGTATTCAGTGCCTCGGTCACTTCAGGCAGCTTGTTATGTATTGCAGGCAAGAACTCTGAGAGCCTTCAGAAATAGTATACAGGGTGGTTCAGGAGGAATGGTAAATAATTTAGGAGGTGGTGGTGTAGACAAATTGCAATAAAAACTTCCACATAACAAGTTTCCAATTTTCATTCAGTACAGAAATACAGCTGTTGGTATTGAACCGACTGCAGTTTTTGTTTCATGTATTGGTACATTGGTTGCGATGGGCCTATTTAACGTTTGTCAACAGTAATATGTTGAAGTTAGTTGTGAAGTTTTGCTTTAGTTTAAATAGAATTTTTTCACTTGTCATTTGCGGTTTGTTGTCAGTCTACTACTGTACTGTATTGTTTAAACATGCCGCATGTTTACACATACTGAGTATGCTGAAATGGTATTTGTGTATGGGTTTTGTGATGGAAACGCTGCTGTGGTTGTAGAGAATATGGCATATGATTTCCTAACCATAGACTACCAGATTCAAGTGTGTTTACTCAGATTTTCAATACACTGCGTGACACTTGTACTGTACCTAGCCATCATGTTTCATCTGAACGAGTAAATGATCAGACTGTTAATGAAGTAGAACATATTATTGAGGTGGTAGAACATAGTCCTTCAACAAGCACACATAGAATTTCTGCACATCGAAGTGTTCCACAGATAATCTGGCAGTCATTTTGTATGAAGGAGATGCATTTGTATCATTTACAAGCCATGCAATACCTTCAAGCACGAGATGGAGATAGAAGATTGGAATTTTGTCCTTGGATACTTGAAAATTGCCAAGTAATCACATTTTTAATCTTCATTGATGAAGCCACTTTCACTTGTTATGGCATCAATAACACTTGTAATTTACATCTGTGGTCCGAAAAAAACCCACATACCACTGTGGACCCACTTTTTTAAGAATGCTTCTCTGTAAATGTGTTGTGGTTTGATAGACAATCGCATTATAGAGCATAGTGTGTTATCGCATAGTCTCACAGGACCCATTTAGATTTATCTACACTTTCTTGAAAATGCACTTTCAGTATTATTGGAAGAGATTCCTTTCAAGACAAGAACAAGAATACAGGAATGCGTACTTTCATCCAGCATGACTGGGCTCCTGCACATTCAAGTCGTTGGGGTCACAGCAACCAAATCTAACATTCCCCGGAAGATAGAAATGATCAGGTTTCTTGACCACCAAGGTCCCTGGACCTTCCCCTTTGGATTTTTGCCTGTGGGATAGTTAAAAGGCGATGTCTATCAAAACAAAGTTAACTCAAGAGCCGATTTGTTTGTTTGTTTGGATTAAGCATAGTGCAGCCCTCGTCAAAGAATACCAAGACGACCCCTGAAGAGTGACATGTGGTACTCAAGAGAAGTGAAAAATTGAAGTTGTTGGTAGAATTTTAGAAAATCAACTTTGAACGCCCTCTTTTGCCTTTGCTTTAAACTTTTTTGGATTGAATACTAATAGCTGTATCTCTGTACTGAATGAAGATTGGACATGTGTTATATGGAAGTTTTTATTGTAATTCATCTATGCGATCACCTCTTAATATTTACAATTCCTCCTGAATTGCACGTAAGCCCTGAAACGATTCTGGAACCTGCACTGTTATATTGTCTATATTCATAAAACATGAAATGTACATATTCAGCAAGTTGTTCAATATATTTTGCCCACGCCTTGACTTTTTACCCGAATATTTCAAATTTTTCCAACCATGCTAGTATTTTCACACACACACACACACACACACACACACACAATGCTTACTCTAAGCCGTATAAATACAGATTAAATTTATAACTTTTCCTAAGATATTTGACAAGATTTCTTTTTTCCTTCCCAGATTTTTTATTGGCCTTAACTTCTCTAGCAAAAAAAATTCTATTTCCTCATAATGTTTATTAAAGGGAAGTTTCACTGTTAATAGAAAATCCAGAGTGTGACTAGTTTAGGAAGTCTTTTTTGTCATTACTTCACATCAGAATTTGTTCTGTAGTCATTTCTTTCCATTTTTTATTGTCTATGGAGTTCTTTAATCAAGAGAGAGAGGAAAAATTCTTAAATCAGAGTTTCTGTATTTTTTAGAAACACTATTGATGATAGGGAAAAGGAAACTTTCTATCAGTTGAAAGAATGAAAGGTGAGGGGAGAAAATGCTAAGTGAATTTTGTAAATCTTTTAAATATTTGTATTGAAACTACTTGCAGAAATTAGTGAATTGGAAATCAGGATTCCTGTTTACAAGGAGATTTTACTGTTTACAGTATAAATATGTTTGATACCTAGTTCCTTTTTCATTCATTTGTTTCAATTGGAAATCAAGTGTTAAATGTAATGAAACGCCTGCATTGATGCCTGCACTTCATAATTCTTCCATTTGAATCAGGTGACAAAATTTAAACACATACTTCATATTGATATTGCTTACTGGGTTAATGGGCCATGGTCCAGTCAAAATATGTTTTTTTAAATTTGGATGGTATATCAGCCTTTGTTCAACTGACACTGAAGATGTTTGCCTGTAGAGCTAAGATGTCTGAAAGTACTATTTTGAGGGACCTAGGGCTTTCAGCCTTATAAGCTACGCCAATATTAAGGAATATATTAACATCTGTTATCTTGTTTAATTGCAATAGTTATTTGACCTTATTAAAACATGCTAAAATATTTTATTTTAGCAATTTACTTTATTGACATTTTGACCCTAGTTGGGGTCTTTTTGAGTTGGCCAGATGATGTTTGCAACTTCAGTTTTTTGACAATTTTTTTTTTATAAAATGGTACCTCATTTTATACTAAGTATTTTCTACAAACTTGTACTATTCTGAACCGGCTAGGGTCAGAATGTCAATGAAATAAAGTATTAAAATAAAATATTGTAGTGTCTGTTTTAATGAGGTCAGAAAACTATTAATGTCAATTTTGATACTGGCCTTGAACATGAGTTTACATTGTTTTAAAAATATACTTATAGATTTTCCAGAAAGCAATAAATCAAATTGTCAGTTATCCAGATTTATATGAAATTTTCAGCTTAAATATGAATTTGTTGAGATAAGCATAATTACAATATAATTAAGATTTTATTTTTATACAAAATCTTATAACCAGACTCGTTTCAGGGAGAATTTCTGCATCCTCTGATGCTTCAGCTACCTTACCTACAAATCTTTCTGTAACGTGTGTTATTGAAAAAATAAAATAAATGCCTTTATTTTGTTCACTTCTCTCCCACTCCAAAGCTTAACCTCTGAGAGTCTTCTTTCTTTAGGAAGCTCGTGTTATTTGTTGAATAATGGCAGGCCTTAGCCTAATGAGGCTGTAGTGCCAGAGTATATATGAACATACAACAATTAATGTTCTTAATTATTCCATTGCTTCCAGTTTTATTTTGTACATAATTCATCCTAAAAGTTTTCTTTTACAGAGAAGAGCTGCCATTAATTAGTCCTGATAATCAATGTTCTACTAAATTTTGAAACTGGTTTTAGTTGTAAAATTAGCAATCATTGACCAAAATACTAGCACTTCTTGGGAAACCTGTTCAAGAACATATAAAAAATAATTGTGTATTTTCAGTTGCTGGAACCCAATGTGACACTTCGCGTTCGGCAAGTGGATCGCTCTCTTGCTGAGGCTGCTGTTGTAATAGCACAACAGGAATATGAATCGAAGACAAATCGCAAAGTCCAGGTTAAGATTGATTCTGATACATATCTTCCTGCTGAGACAACTGGAGGGGTTGAACTTCTGGCACAACAGGGACGTATAAAAATTGTGAACACAATGGAAGCAAGGCTGGATCTTATTGCTCAGCAGTTAGTGCCTGAGCTCCGATCAGCGCTGTTTGGCAAGAATCCCAATCGCAAATTTACAGATTAGATGGTCTTATCTGAACTTTCCACACATTCCAGTTTGATCCCTGAGTAGATTCCAGGTTGTGACACCCTGTTGTCTCCTATGTGTATGTACTGTAGTGGTTGTACAACTGTTGAATGTTATATATAGCAAGTCTTGTTGTTTCGATAGTCAATGGCTTCATTGTTTCAAAGAAATTAAAATAATATTTTCCTTGTTAATAGTGTGTACACATACTCAGTGCTAAACTTTGTAAGATACTTGCAATAATATCATTTGTGGAAGTGTATTAGTTTGCTTTCAAGAAGAGATTGTATAACAAGTAATTCATATTACAAAATTAATACCCTCCAAATCGGATTGCACTGCTAAATATAGCACAGACCTTTTTTGGCATGCTGTATTGTCAGATTTCCATCTTGCCAGGTAACCAGCAAATGTGCTATATTTGATAATGTAAATGTATTACTGAGTGAGCAAATTCTTTTAGATAATCTGTACTTTATTTTGCCTTAAACAAAAATGTGGTGTATAGTTGGTGTAGGTATTATCAAAGTGTTCAGTACACAGATTTGTTCATTTAGTTGTAAATATGTACATGGCAAAAGGGACATACTGTATCAAAATAAACTATTGCTGTTAAACATAGAAAAGTTGTTACTGATAAAAACAATTCAAGACTAAAATTTCCTACTAAACTTGTATTTAACTTTGTAAATAAGTCTATTTAGATATTATGCAATTCATATAAATTATGTAATTATGTTTTTGTATTTGTGTATATATGTATATATATATGTGTATATATGTATATATATGTGTATATATGTGTATATATGTATATATATATATATATGTGTATATATGTATATATATATGTATAAAATTTATTTTGAGATTATTGAAAAGGTGTACAGTCAGTACACTTGTGTATATCTGCTGTTTAGTTTATTAGATCTGATCAATTGGCTCTAGGATAACTTCAAAGAAAAACAATTATCTCTGCAGATCCTTCTTTTATTTGAAACAAAATTTTTAAAAGTAGATACATAAAAAATAATGATTTTCTCAATCGTCACACAATAAAGAGTAACATAAGCAAACAATATTCTCAAGTTAATTTTATCTATTATATTAAAGTGACTGTATGTATTCTTGTTTTACAAAAAACTTCTGAACCACCGCAGCAATTGCTTTAAAATTTTTTGAACACTTACTAATAGCGGAGGAAAATTCTAGCAAGTTACGATTTAAAAAACTTGTGTAAAATGTGTTTTTTAAACAAAATTTAGTTAAATAGCTCTAGATAATGTACTTGTTGGGCATGCAAACCATTGTGAAATTGTGGAGGCTATCATGGCACAATCTTTGAGGGAATGGAAGGTAGATATTGCCATAATACGCTAACAGATACTGCAATGATCTGTTGTTGAAATCACACCTCAACAAAATTGCAAATTAGATATGTGGAAATCACCTGTTCTGACATAATAGCTAGATGTTAGTTTTGTATGGGTGAAAATAGATGGAGTACGTCTGTAACTGCTATATTTGATGAATTAAGCAATTCCTTGACCCTTTAGACTTTTATACACCAGGACTCATGATAGTGGGTGATTTCCCTATGTGGGTCGTGGAGCTAGTGGTTTGACAAAGAACTGACTAGTTGACCTACACTGGAACTTTTCTCCCTATTGAACAGTGCTCTTCAACAGTAAAGACGCGAGTTCGTGTGAAAGCTTGCCAAGAAGTCAAGTACCGTGGAGAGACAGTGATCACTACACTCAAAGTAATTGCCTAGCAAGTCTGAACAAAGTGCTAAATCAAAAAATGTTGGATCGAGATATAAAGGAAGATGGAAAACCAAAGCGTTTAAGTATTTGACCTTTAAAGAAGATAATACCATTAGCGACGGCACAAAGACTGGCCAAGAGTTGGGTAACGAGTTTGCAATGCAACTTTGCCCAAGCGAAGAACCGACCAAAAATCGACGTTCCACTGTTAACTAGTGGAAGGAAGATATAGCTCATCTGCGTCGACGCCAACTTCCAGCTCGGAAATTTTACCAGCGATCTCGTGGCAAGCGTTTGTGCCTTTTGCCAGAGCAGTTAATAACTTGAACGAAATCGCTGAAGATCGCAATCCGGAAAAGTAACGCTGGCGAAATGGACAAAAGATTGAAGCGGGGCAAGTCTAGAAAGTCACATCAACACATCCAACCAGCGCAAAACACTTCTTCTCAGAATTGTGACTCCCCCCCCCCCCCCAGCGAGCCAACTAAGATATTGCCGCTGAAGTCAGAAATGAGTGATCAAACTGTAATTCTTTGCATGCTATATGACCACGAGCGCCATTATTTGTTTGGTTAAGCGTGGTGTGCAGTTCTGAATTATATTCTGTTGTGTACTATTGATTACGACTTGTTTCTTGCTACTGCCACTGCTCTTGTGGTTTGATACAAGAACGACCACACGAGTGTCAACATCGCTCTGCTCTCCCCAGCTATAAAATAAATAAAAATATTATTCGGACAGTAAACACTAAAGAGCTATTAGAAGTAATGCATGCTTCAGAAAAGAAGCGTTCTGTGATGTAAAAAACTAGTATTAGTTTCAAAAAAATTAGTACTTTCAGAAGGGGGGGGGGCGCTTCCGAAGAGCTGAAGGTTTTTCCGCAGCTGTGAATACACGATTCATCTGGTAAGGTTCTCGAGGAAGCACCACGACGAAACAAACTGTAGAGAAGGGAGGTGGTCTCAGTAAAGCAGTATGGTCTCCGCAAAACCCGGTTAACATTCGACTGTTCTGCTTATATCTGTCCGGTACGCCATTAGAGGAAGCGGGTGGAAAGAAAAAAACCCACCGAGGGAAACAATTGACATTTATATTGCCTTTAACCCTGCTATGAACGTCTTTTTCGGTATCAGGATACCCCCCCCCAAAAAAAAAACGCGTTTCCGTTGAAATTTCGAAATCGATTTTCCGCAGCATTCCATAACGTTCACTATACTGCTTATATTACTTCGTATATACGTACGTATACGGGAAAGTAATAAATATTTTCGGTATTAAGGGACCCCAAAACGCGTCTTTCCGTTGAAATCTCGAAAACGATTTTCCGCAACATTACGTAACTGCATAAAACGTATATACACGTACGTATAAAAAAAAGTAATTAGTGTAACAGAATGGTTCAAACTTTCTCATACTAGTTTTCTAGCCTGGTGACATCTGTCACCGTCGAAGGTATTTTTTCCTCAATTTTGCCGTTTACTAATAGAAATGTAATATTACTTTAGGAATATTAAAGAAGGGTAAAACATCGTCCTAAATGGCAATTTTCATTGAAAAATTTGTAGCAAGTTTTTCTAAAAAGGGCGTTGGGCGTTACTGTAAATGGGAAATGTAAAGCTCTTTTTCACAAAATTGTTTTGTTTCACAGAAAAAAATTGTTTTTGTAATTTTTAAAAATTGCAAATATTACACGCACTATTGCTCGAAATCTATTAAAAGATTTTAAAAAACATACATGAACTAGTAACAAATTTCATTTGAAGGGAAAATCTTTATCTTTAATTTTGTAGATTTAGGAAGAAGCTGGAAATAAAAATTGGAATTATCGAAAATTCAGTTAACATTAAAAACCTGATCTGTCCACCTTTATAAGTGTATTTTACCTTATTCTTACAAGAAATTTAAAGAAAAAAGTTGGAACATGTTTGATAAATTTTTGAAATGTCCATGGGGCATCATGAAAATACCCCTAACATGTTGTTTTCAAAATTGCAAAGCTTGGAGTGGAGTCAGATTGACGGACAATATCCATTTGAGAAAAGTATGGTTTAGGCGCTAGTGGTGTTGCAGAGACGGAGTTTTTTCCGCTTCAATTGTATTTTCCCGGTATCAAGAACCCACAAAACGGATTCTGGATCCACCATGTATTAGAGGATTTTCCCGCTTAATTTAGTCTAATGATTTATCCACTTTCTCGTTTCCGGCAATGAACTTTGTACTACTGAAAATCCGCCGTTTTTTCGCGCAGCATTACATAACTTGCTCAATATTACGTATATTTCTCCGTATATACGTACGTATACGAGAAAGTAAAAACACAAGAAGGCACAAAGAAAACCCATAGTTTGGTTTCTATATGAAACAGTTGTGACGTCAGGGTGCGAGTGAAGCACAGGCACGGAGCTGTTATGTACAGATTTATTTACAATGTTTCTATATAATTACACTTCTGAAGACCTAGCGTTGCACTCCAGCACTGCACTTCCTTGAGGCATCCCCGCCGCAGCCTGGCACAGACACAGCGGCTAACCTTAGCGCCGCTCCTGGCGTCTAGTTCCTTGGCGAACAGCTTAACCTCGCAGCTGAAGCTAGTGATGGCCTCTGGCAGGTGACAAGTGCCTTCCGCACCGCGATTCGGTTCAAACTCAAAGGCACCCGGATGTTTTCTCTGCAGCATACTCGCGAGGGGTCACGTGACGGACCTCCCATGAAGTCGTCCCGCGTCACTTCATTAACAAATTTTGGGTCCGTTGCAAATTGGGGCCCGCAGCCGCTGCTGGACGCGACTGTCGTCACATATCATCCCCCCTGCTCTGACACCCACGTTCTGACATCACGCCCCTGCCCGCACCCTTCGAGTTTGTTGGCCGCCAGCTGGCCAACAATTCCCCTCGCTCCCGCTTTGCGGTGTCCGGCGGGCACTTGCAAATAATCATGCAGAATCGAATTGCTGGTGCATTAATGTCTAAGATATGCTTGTAGGTCACTCGGCTGCCTTCGTCAAGCATTTTTCTAACAGCAGCAATGTTTTCCTCCGTAACTTATGTTCGTGGCCTACCCGCTCTCTCAGCATCCCCCAAACTGAAATTTCCCCTTTGGAACTCTCTGTACCACCTGAATATTGTAGTACGACGTGGACAAACATCTCTGAGAGCATGTCATTTCTTCAAAGCACTGGTCTACATTTAAACCACGCGCTTAGTTATACCGCAAAACTTCCCGAATCTCACTTCGAGACCACGAAGCCATAGCAAGCACTTCAAACTGCCACTGTCACCGAAGAACTGAACCCGCAGACGCGGCACAGCAGCTACTGTGCAAGTATGAATATGTCTCCGCACCCTGCGACAAGCAGCCTTCTGTGACTTACGGTTGCGTCGTATTGCAAAACTTTCCTAGTGCCCTTTGTACAACAATGGATTCAAAAGAGTGATTGGTGACTTTGTTTAGTGTTATCTCCAGTTTTTTAAGAACGTAATATAATCTACTGCTCTCTTTGTTGGAGGCGTGTAGATGCAAAGTAATATAATTTTTAGCGTAGGAAGATGTACTTCGTTCATTTCAATCATATTTTCAACGGAATACACATTTAATTCCGTCAAGGAAGTAGAATTTATATTATTTCGTACGTAAATGCAAGAACCCCCATATGCAGGACCTTTATGTTTCCTTTTCTCTACAATAATATCCTGCGAGGTAAAAGTTTGGAATTTGGAAAATGCTCTTTATCAAATAACCAGTTCTGTAAAGCAAAGAACATCCATCTGATTTAAATCGCTCAGTAGAGCTGCTTCAATAAACTCAGTTTTATTTGAAAGGGATTGAACACTATGTTTACCTTCTGCAAGTACATACACGAATGTTTTTCTACTGTAGTTGCTATATATATATATATATAATATTATAAATATATATATATTATAATATATATATATATCCATTTTTACCTCGAGTGCGTGGTCGAAGGTTGTAGTGTGTCCCTGCAGTGGCAGGTTGTGAGGAAAATGGGGCATCAAGTGTAAGAGAATTGGTAGTGGGAGTGGGAGAAGGATCAGAGGAAGAGGTAAGTGGGTTCGAAATAAGGGAGGGGGTGGAAATCGTAAGGAAGGTGAAAGGGATGGATTTTTGGCAGGACTGCGTAGGACTGAAGTTGATGTGTTGTCCAAGCTTGTTGCCGTATGTATGTTTTCCAGCATGAGGAGACCATGCCGGGTGAAGTGTTTGGCTGAGAGGAAATTCATTTCAAAAAGTGTACTATTTTTCTCAGTTGCAGTTTTAATTGTTGGTTTGCGTGCTTAATCATGCTGCATAGTGTTGGTCTATTGTACCAAAAGGGCAGAGTCGAGACTACAATGTTAGTGTTTTGGGCTGCACATTGTAATTTGTTTACATGTTCAGGTGTAAAGTTACCGCCCAAATTAATGTCGTTCTGCCCTCCTACGATAATGGCTGTGTCCTGCTTGGTCAGTGTCTTTGTGTGGGTGTTCAAGTCTGCAAACCTCCCGTTAGGTTTAAAAATAGATGAGACTGAATAGTTGGAGGGTAACTTCCTACTGCGAATGGAGGAAAGATGGCGGCCATGGCTGTCAGTTAAAATAAGTACTTGTTTGTTGTTGTTGTTTTTTTGGGGGAGGGGGGGCTCAGTAGAAATGTTTAGTTTTCAAGTGCGCTATGATGCGCAGCTTTACGTGTTTTGGTTTTGACGCGCTTGCTAGCCTGTTTGCGTTGGTTTGTGCATGTATTCGTGGATGGCAAGGTTGTGAGGATCAGGAAGGCGAGGAAAATCTGTTTCATGATCTAAAACGCTAAATTTGTTTTGAGTTGCGAGATATAGTGTCTGTCCTTTGTGCAGTCACGGGTGCACAGTTGGGAAGATTCGCAGTGTTGCCGACTTGTACCCTACCGTCTGTATTAAGAACGACCTCTTCCCACCATCGGATATGTTGATCTAAATTACTGTGTATGTGTGTGAAGGCTTTCAGAAGGTCGGCTTTAAAAGTGTAGAGAGTTAAAAGAGTAGAACTATTAGTTGCCATGTCACGAATGCGTTTGATAAAATTGGAATGAACTTCCCTCAAATTAAAATATCCGTTTGGAATTAAAGGGGCCACATCAAATCGCAGAATATCAATTTTGGTGAAATTCCTGCTTGTGACATTTCACGTCAAATTGCATTAATGAAAGGTAAATTTGACCTTGATATTCCAGATTTTTAATTTTCTCTGAAGAATTTCAACAAAAATACGAAACGCGGGATCTAAATTTTTTCATAGGATTATTTTTTGAGATGTTAATTTTCAAAATTTTCGAAAAAGTGCTTACTAAAGTTAATTATTTTAACTCGTGTTGTAATTGACTGAAATTTAGTAAATTGCAACTTTATAGAAAAAAGACGCTCCTTTATTTGATGTATGTATTAAATTCATTATTTTTTTTAAATACTTTTTTTTTTACTTTTTAAAAAAGTATTTAATTTCTACCTTGAACTGAGTTTAAAAAATCGAAAAATATCATTGCCATCTCTGAAAAGTTCTACATAAGTCTGGTAAGTTTCAAAGCCGGACACAGCGTTCTGAGGCATTAAATGCAGTAAAAAAAGTCCAATTGCTGTTTTGCTTAAGCGACTGCTAGAGCGTCGCCCTCCAAAAGCAATAAATAGAAATATCCATTCACACCTTACTGTGTGCCGAATGTAAAATATATTAAATTCAAATTAAAAAGTGTCAAACATATTCAATTTGGTTCCAAATACTAAATAAATACTCGTAGAACTAAATTGTGTACATATAGTCGGAATATTTATACGAATAAGAGTATTAAGAGTTCTTTTACTTAACTTCACAGAGAACTCGTATATTGACAGTAACGGTCGTGACGTGCCCGCCGGTCCCCACAAGACGGGAGGCCGGCGAGGAAGAGAGGTTGGCTATCTGCTGGCCACCAAGCTCGAAGGGTGCAGACCGGGGCGTGTTGTCAGAACGTGGGGAATGATGCGTGACGGCAATCCGACGTCCGACAGCAGCAGCGGGCCAAAAATTCGTTAAAGACGTGACGCGGGTCGAGGTCGGTCACGTAATCTCTCGTAAGGATGCTGGAGAGAAAACAGCAGGGTGCATTCGATTTTGAACTGAAACACTGTGCGAAGGGACTTGTCACTCGCCTGAATGGGGGTACAGTTCCGGATTACCTCCCGCCGCCTCATTAACGGCTGTATCCTCTTTAGTTTTTTTTGGTACAAACGAAAAATTTGGTGAAACTATCCGGTACAGACGACTTACAACGTTTTCAAATGTTTTTACGATGGTGGTGGTGCCATTGTGAAGTTGGCACCACCACAGTAATAAAAAGAGCTGTATCTTGTGTTCTTGGTTCAAACCAATGTTTTTGTGGTACAAACGAATGGTGAAGGTTTCAGTGGTTTTGGTTGTGGTAGTGCCAACTACACGGACATGTGACAAAAGTCATGCCCGACATTTTTACGCTATGTTAGCTTATGACTGATTTTACTAGGATTTTTTAAGTACTCATTAAAACGTGTACATAGGAGATTTCACGATCTATACATGAACTTTCATGACGCAGCTTGTGATTTAAAAGCTTTTCAAAATTATTTTTATGATGAAAGGGAAGTGTTGGTAACTGAATCGCTCGAAAAGGCACTTAATCTTCGGGGGAGGGGGGGAGCCGGATGACCATCTGATGAAATTGAGAGTCATGAAGGCATCTGTTTTCCATCTTTATAGCGAAAAGAATGGAAAGTTAATCCACTTAGAAGGTACTGATGAAAAATTTGGCTTCTGGCTCTACATTGAGGGTCTTTGCTATAATGATAAAAAGTTATCACATACTTCGAGAAGTTCTACAGCAGCGATATTGATGGAGAACAGCTAAATAAAGAAATCACTGATTGAAGAATACCTCTCAGTTCGATATAATATGAAAATATTGAAGCCTGAATAACTTTTACAATTCATTGTTGAATATGGAGATGAAAGTATTTGTCCAAATGTACGTATTATTCAAATTATTTTAACTTTTGCAAGTTGTGAAAGATCTTGCAGCAAGTTAAAATTCAGCCGATCCGGTGGATCGCTAAGGCAGTAGTGCCGTAGCGAACTCGGACCGAAGGATCGCGGGTTCGAGTCCCGCCTCGGGCATGGTTGTATTGTGTTTCGTCCTTTCACCCCCCTATCATCATCATTATCATGTCAACCCACAGTTACCATACCGTTACAAGCAATAGTGGTCGCTAATGACCTAGTAGTTGATGCGACATTAAATAAATAAATTTAAAAAAAAGTTAAAATTCTCTGTTGAGTGTTGAAAGAGAAGAAACTGAGAAAACTGACCGATTCTGGCATTGATGAATTCGTAACAGTAGAATTTAAACAAGCGCACTTCCAGAGTACCTACTGTCACTTCAGTTTCTGTAGTAATGTATACAAATTTATTTTTGTAAAAGTTAAGTATATTATATATTTTTAAAATAGTAATGTTTTTGTCATTAAAATTTTACAAGTGTAAAATTTTACTAATAAACAGTACCGGCTCTAGGCATGGGCAGACCGAGCGATTACACAGAGCCCATGATGGCACTGATGAGAAAAAAGTTTTTAACGAAATTAGAACTCTAGAAAACATTGTAGAAATTTTGTAAGTCTCATTACAGAAGTCTGACTTCAACGGTACAAGCACTGTGGAAGGGTCTAGGAAACCATAGGCAAACATGTAAGTGTACAGGACCAATATAAGTTTATCTTGGATATTCAGAGCGTGCAAAAGTCAACTTTACTGCCTTTTGTGAAGATATTGGGAGAGGCTCTGGGAGTCTTTTGGACGTTTAAGAGAATAGGAAACTATAACAAAAAAATTTAAAAAAATGTTACATTTTGTAGCAACACTTAGTTCCAATTTGGGCGGCATTCACCTTTCATAGCATCACATCTGGCTTTCAGGACAATTTTACACTTCTTTGCTAAATTACTAGTCTATCTATCAACGAATCAACCAACCAACCAACCAACCAACCAACCAACCAACCAACCAACCAACCAATGTTACCAAAATCAATTTTTGTAAGTCCTTATACTTTCATTTGGGTTCATTGCTTCTATTAGTAGGATAAAAAGGAAGTAAGTAAAATAACAAACCAGAATTTGAAGTAACTTTTTTTTTTTCAACAGCAAATATAGACAACAGTTTTTCAGCTATATACTACTTACATTTAGGCCTCCATGCTGAAGCATATGTAAACTGACAAGCTGGCAAAGTACTTTGTAGAAACCAACTTTTCCTGTCCTGGGGCTGGCAAGTTTTTGCTTGCAGGAAAGCAAGATGCAAAAGGAGACCAATCAATTATTTTCTACAGAAGAACTCCACAATACTTACTGATACTATTTAGTGCCTGTATCATCACACTAAATGCTAATTTTTCAATACCTATTCATTTCTCAAGATATGTATTTCTCAAATGTTGATGCTAGTTTGAGACGAAAAATAATAAAAATACAAATAATGGAGGAAAAAAAATACCATTCCTCAGACAAATATATTTCTTTTAGTTCTTTTACAATATCCTGTGTGAGGCAAGAGAAATGATTTATAAAAATATTTGTCCAACTTTTGTCTATCACCAGTGTTCAATTATTGATGAGAATTTTTTTTATGTATAAACACCAATTTCACTATTTCAGACTGTTTACAAAACCCTGATTTATGAAGGTGAAAGGAAGGTTTTGGCAATATTTAATGTTGAAGACATGTTTTGTTCTCATTCAACAATCTATACCTTCATTTATTCACCAATATTTCAGAGCATTTTCCGAGACTGGTTTGTTACTAATTTTATGTATTTTTCCATTTTCTGCATGAAAATGTCTTCTAAATCTGGTAAGAAATGAATGTTTCATGCACTCATATCCTGGAAAAGAGGAGTTTCTGTGAGTTTTATTGGTAATATTTTACTGGCCTATGCAAATGAAAAGACATCTTACCATAAAGCAGTTTCGCCATAGAAATATGAATTCACACTGCTGAAGATCAATAAAATTCTGCAAATGCTCAATGCCACAGCACCAACTACTCAAGCATTAGGGCAGGAACTATAACTTGTATTAGGACTGACAAAGTCACTCTTGTTGTTCCCCAGACTTGAAAAACAGAATGGCATGACAAGTGACAAACTGAAGGTGGTATACAGAAAAATTGCAGTTGGAATAAAACATGTCTTGAATTACAATAATCATTATTATATTGCCACCATCTTCCAGTCAATTAGTTTCAAATCTCTTAAATAGATCATGTTTCATATCAGTAATTTATACTCCTTGCCAAATAAGCAAATGAAAATTTACTCAAACATTAGTGTTTCAAAGCAGGTGAATCCCATAGGGAAAATGAATGGAATTAAACCTAACAGATTTGGAAGACACTTCAATGCATTTCCACTGTGAGCTGGGAAATATAAAAACAGTTAGTCTGTTCACAAAATATTGCTAATTTAAATCTAGTTCTTCCCACTCTGCTGAAAAATGCAGCCCTATGGACAGAATGTGCTCACTGGAATGTCACTGATCCTAAATCAGTATTGCATTAGTTTGTTCTCAAGTGAATTTTTGTAGCTACCTCTAAGCTTCTTAATAGCTGCACCAGAACATTTTTTTTTTTTACATGTAATGTATTGCTCTCAAGAAATTGACATTTGTCATTCATTATGTGCTTTCAATGCCATGATATAAATGTTCAGATTCCTGCATTTGACTTCACAAATAGATGAAGTACTGTTTACTACTATTACTATTACTACTTCGTCTTCTTCTTTCAATTGGCCTTTGACACACATTTTCAGTGCTTGCCACACTTGTTCCACATTAAAAATCTAGCATGGTAAAATTAGAAATCCTTGAGTTAAATATCTTAAGCAAGACTATTTGGGTCTTTCAGAAAGAAACTTCAACAACAAAATGGCTGGTAAGCTTCTGCTTTCTTACTGCACATTAAGTCAGAGTTCACATATGACAAAGCACCTCCAGAGGCCAACACAACCATATGCACAGAATGGAAGATACATTTGTCAGAACCAACAATTCACATGACTATGGCTTAAGTACAGCCTTGTTGCTTCTACATGAAACCTAATATAATTGTTTTACTTGCACAATAAAATTATCATTCAAATTATCAAGACAAATTCATTCTATTTTTAAAATGTTTAAGTATCACACAACATTCAGTAAAAATCATACATTTTGAATGGTGCAAGAGTCATTTCAAAACCAAGCCATATTATTTGGAATATAAATGACCATCCAAATTGTACTTTTTATGCCATTACATTCACATTTACAATTGAATAAAATCAGAAATTGTTGTAAAGACCAATTAACACTGTTATACAACTAATTGGACTACTGGCCTAAAATCACACCATTTATTGTCATAGTCATGGCAGCAGAAGTTGCATCGAACTTTAATTTTTACCTTATCGTTCAATTCCCATAAGTTTCTCTGCAACTCCCCAGAAGTACACCATTTGGGCAATACCAAACAAAGGTGCTATCACGATCATTCGACAACCGCCACCTTTGAAGAATGCAGTAATTCCCTCATTTTTGAATGTTTTCCTGTAACCAAAAAAGGAATAGGTTTGTTTTTTGTGAAAAATGGCATATTTGTGTAACCAAAACTTTAACTATATACTTACACAAATGCATCCATTATGCCAACGTAAGTTGCTTCTCCTTCAGCTTTCTTCAAAAGCTGCAGACGAGTTTTAACAACATCAAATGGATTAACAGCCAACGCTGCAATTGACCCAGCAGCACATCCCGCAAGGAATGAGCACCAAAATACTGCTTCACCTACAATAAATTTGCTATTAAATTCATGTTTGTCCCTAAATAAACTAACTATAAAATAAAGTTAGTTACTGTTAAAGAGAATTATCTCACCTGAACCATCTTTCTTACGAGGTCCTAATGCATTGAGATGTGCAAACAATGGAAAGTAGACAACTGAAAAGGACACATCACGAAGGGCAGTAGCACCAATTCCCTTGTATAGGCCAAAAATTCCTTTCGTTCGCAATAGATCCATTGTAATCTGTGTTGCTGAAACCTTAGGTACAACTTGCCCACCTGTTGAAAAAGGTTATAGTAATGAAAATAGTAATGAAAGTGTTACTCGCAACAATAAAAAACAAACGTTCCATCACATACATAACGTTTAGTAACTAAATAATTTTCATATTTCATATACTTGCAGTAGCATTTGGAATTCTGGATTAATAGTTGAATTTAGAAAATTGTTTTGCAAATAGGGGGAATGAGAGCCCTTTTCAGATGGCCCGAATGCCTCATAAATCTGAAGAGAGAAGTTTGTAAACTTATTTGTTGAGATGCCAATACTGTTTCAATTTTTTCCCCCTCATGATTTAGATCACATTTACAATAACTTGCTTAACTCCAAGAGAAGTAATTGACATGGAAATTCATTAACAAGTTAGTACACCCACTGAAAGCAACAAAGGCAAATTTTGGAAAATATGGGTAGACTGTGGCCAAAGAAGCATGTGTTTTCATTTAAAAAATATATTTTCTCAGTTCAAATTAGTGTCATTTATTAAAAGATGGTTTGAATGGATGAAAACAGTTGTTGATGTTGTCGTTTGAAGAGTAGTTTAGTATAGTTTCAAAAGGCAATGGTTTTGTAAGCATTAATTTGGTTCTAAGCAATTTATCTTATCAAGAGGGTGGTATCCTCTCCCCCCGGGAAATACCACTAATTTTAAACTTACTCTGTTTTGACTGAGCAGCCACACGACCTGCATCTTGAAGTTGTATTTTCAGTAGTTCCATTGGTGTAGTAATCACAATTTGACAGAGTCCAGCAAGTCCTCCAGCAAGCATTTCTCGAGTCAATGGTAACTTCTTTCTAAAATATAAGTATGAGAATTAATTCACAAACTTTTCTACCATAAATTCTTTTAGTGCATTCTGAAAAAAATGTACATAACATGAATTATTTTTGTTTTTTTTATAAACATACTCGGGGCAGAAACCATTTTCAGTATCACCTGTTAAGCATGCATGTCAATTACAATTCTAAGGAAAATAATTATAAGTAAATTTAATTAAGAGAAATTCAATAATCATTTAATTTGTAGCACAAAATTATTTTTAAAATGTTTCCATTCTCAATCCATCTGATCGATTTCAATAATAATTAATTAGACTGATCAATAAAATATTTATTTGTGAATTTTGTTTTATTCAACTAAGTTCTTTTTAACTTAAGATATTATCTGTATTAGAACTGCATCCTATTAGGAAACCAAATATGAGTGGAATATATGTACATGACCCTTAGAATCTCTCCTTGAAACCTGAAAGTTAAGTTTTAAACCAAACAATAATATTCTCTGAAGCGACAGGAAAAGAAAATATAAAAAAGAAATTTCAAGCAATTAAACAATAGAGGGTTTCACAACTCACCCCTCTCCAGGAGATAAGTGATGCCGAAAGAAATCATTTGCTGTCAACTTGATGGCTTTTTCAGGAGTAATAAGCAAAATGTTAACTCCAGATCCTGAAAAATGCATGAATTAGAGAAATATGGGAAATCATAATTAATGATTAGCGATTGAGCCATAATGACTTCTTCACCACTTATTCATGCATTTTTCTCACACACTTGCAAACTTTCCTGATGCACTTTTGTTTCTTTTAAAAAGTGCTATCAGAACGTGAATTTTGAAGAAATGCTTACATTGCTCTATGAACTCTAATTTTGTACATTGCACTCTTTCCGCAAGTAAATTAAATATTTCATTGCAAAGATAATTTGCAAAAAAACAAAAAGAGAAAAAAGAAACTACACTATTTAGCATTTGATACTGTCTTTTCAGGGTTATTTTGTTATTGTGCAAATGTTAACATTTTTGTTACTGATGTGCATGTTACTCATTACAGAAGAAAAAAAACAACAACATACATGAATTAAAATATATTTGAGTAAAATTAAATATTATATACATTGGAAGTTATAAATTTCTCACAGCTGCACATGCACATGTGAAACAATATTAAGCTTTACGTTATTACTAATCAGATGTCCACGCCATGCGAAAGTAGCTACTTGCTTATAGAAGTGCAGAATTACGGAGTTAGATTGTAGTATAGATTGCATGAACAGATAACATAAAGCACACCTACGAAACTACTCTACAGCTACAGATGCAGCCTAAAGCTGAGAAGTGGTGGCTAGCGATGCTCGCTAGTGTCTGGAAACAAAAGCAACATAGTCTACACTACAGTAACCCATAAAGGACCCCTAACTGAGAAGATGTTCAAGTGAAACATTATACCAGAATTATACACAAATTTCCAATAAATGAATGTATTATATTTTATTGGTACTATTGTACATAAAAGTTATACATCATACCTCTGTACATCCCAAAATATCCTTCAGCTCTGTAGGTTTTGCGGAAGCAATCCAGCCTTGTAAAAGAAACAAAGAAAGAATTACAAAGGTTAATAAATTACTAACAAAACTTAATTCTTGTCACATAAATATTTACAATATTTAATGTTTGGAGCTGAAACTCAATTTTCTTTCATCTTTGTGAAGTAAAACTTGCTCCTTTGAATCTCAAGGGACCATTATTTTTTCTGAATTAGATAAGATTCCACATTACGCAATGTAATAATGTAGAATTTACATTTGTAAGGGCCCCATTTTACATTCACTTAGGACAGATTTCCACATTATAAATTTTCTGCATTGAGCAAGTTTTACAGTATACATGTCAATGTTGCCTCAGAATGGCAATGTTCTAGGTGACATTTTTGGTGAAAACGAGGTTTTGCTATTTTGCCACAACTACAACATATTTAAAGAGTTTTTAAATCAGAATTAACAAAAACTTTCTATGAACAAAATAACAGCATTTCATGTATCATCATTAGACTCCTTCAAACTTTCTCCTATAAAATTTCCTCTAAGTCAAGTAGATCCTTGACATTCCGAGCCTGTGATTACAAACTTTCAAAACTAGTTTGAAGAAAAAATTTTTGAGCCATTTTTGAGAAAATGGTGTTTGAGCGTTTCTGAAAATGCAGAATTTTTTCGCAGAAAACTTAAGATTTTTTTCTGATATTATTTAAAAACGTATTTACTCATAAATACGATAATGTATACAAATTGTCGCTAATGCAAATATTAAGAATGTGAAACACAAGTCAAAAATTTACATTTTTGTAATTTTTGAGAAAAGAAAACAATACATCAATATGGCGTTTATGTCATCTTTTAGAGAGCATTCAGAACTATCCTTACCAAAAGTTTAAAGAAAAAAATTGGAGCAGTTTTTAAGAAAAACTTGTTATTGTAATTTTTTTAATTAAAAATGGTAGATATTGCTTGCAATAATGCGCAAAAACAAAAAATTCAAAAAAATATGCATGACCTTAATGAAAGAACTTGCTATGGATAACAAATTTTATTTGAAGGGAAAATCTCTATCTTAAATTTCGTAGTTTTAGGAGGACTCCTGAAAAATATGGAAATTTTAGAAAATTCAGAGTTAGAAGATTCAGGTTTCTTTAATTTGGAAAAAATCCTATGTATGGTTTAAGTCCTAGTAGTGCTCACAGGTGGACTGGCGGACGTTTTGAAAAAAAAAATACTTTTTCAGTTTCAGGTGACCACAAAACATGCATTTCCGTGAAAATCTCAAAATCGATTTTCCGCAGCATTATACAACTTTCCCTATATTACTCCGTATATACGTACGTATATGAAAACACAAAAATGGTATGACATAGTGACAGAGAAGACGAGAAAAAAAGAAAAAAAAAAAAAAAAAAAAAGCACATCTTACCAAACGCAGCCGGTCCCAGGTTCATGTGTTGAATTGGACGGACGGAAATTTTATGGAATGGTAAAACGTTATTTTAGTTAGGAAGTTAAACACGTAATTTAATCTTTTGACAAGGAATACATGTCTTGAAGGACCTTGAAGATTTGTAAAAAATATGAATGATGTTTGACGACTTGTGCACGTGATCAGGAAGACGTATATCGAAATACGTACAGACCGTTAAGTTTTTTTTTCTTTTAATTTTAATCGTTGTTATTGTTTTTTTTTCTAAGTTTTGTTTAATATTATAAATAAAAGTTTTATTTTCAACCTTGGAAAGTTTTTTTTTTTAATTTAATCAAACGGTAAGTTACCTTGTTCAAGCTTATGGTGTATACCATAAAATCATCGACCCTGAAATAAATAAATGGATATTTCTGTTTTTCCTTATTAGTGGATTTACTTCACTAAAGGAAAATTTGAACCATCACAATATACAGTTTCCAGGTGATGTTGCTTGCACTCCACAGTTGTATATCTTAAATTGGACAATATAATTTTATGAATGATGAACACGGCTCTTTAAGAATTATTTGCCTCCGATATGAGGAAACTATGAAACAGTCTGCAGAACGTCAACTTAATGTACGCGTTCATCAATACATAGAGAATACAAATTGTAGAATTAAGTAAAGTGTGAGAAAGCAAAAATAGAAGTAGTATTTCCATTTTAAACAGGGAATTACAATTAAAATTAAATTA